GTAATGATAATCTTAAGTTTACTCTAAGATTTATTACAGGCTGATTAACTAACTGAATAAATAGTTAACACAATTTAATATAATTAACAAAATTGTAACTTCAGGCAATATCAAAGCAGTCCGTACAGGATGTACTATACCAACAAGAGATTGATCAATTACAGTCGTAAATAACAATGAGAAGATAAAAGTAAACACCACCAAGTGAATATAAATTTGACCCCATTGCACAAGCAGGTGGCTATCAGGACTCTGTAGCTAAGTGGATAATGTGATGGCATTTGAAACAAACGGTACTGGGTTCGAGTCTCAGAGTGAACATCAACTCTGAAATGCAGGCAAATCCAGCTGACGAGTCTCAAATAGGACGAAACGCACGTCAAACTGGATTCCACTGCTAGCCACTATTCATCTTTGCTTATAATTTATTTAACATAAGTAGTTAAATGATTTTTATCAGAAGGGAGTTTTGTGGAGATTTTTAGTAATTTTATAGTTAAAATCCTGATTCAATTGAAGCTAGACCACTATGAAAAATCTGTAAGAACTGAACGGCCATTTCGTCCAATTGTGGGACTCCTCAACAGCACCCATCCATGATCTCACCTCACGAGAATCGACCTCGGGACCTAAATGACTTTTTTTTGTTTTTTATTTGCCTACTGTTTCCCAATTTTTTTTCCTTTCTCACTATTTTTGTGATCAATTTATGCAAATCCCTAAAAGTAAGGATTTAATATCCTTTAATATGATGAAATATGAGAGAAAAGTAGTTCGATCTAGCTTTATAAAAATTAAAATAGAACAATAACAGATTACTGAATAAATACTTATTTCAATCAATAGTATGTTTTGATATGTGAATGAGTAGAGAGACAATAGCAATTAAAGGAAATTTTAACTTTCAAAAGCTAACATATATCTAGGTAGATATATATATATGGAGAGAAAGAGGCAGAGAAAAGGATAGAAATCATGTATAGACATGAACTTATCAATTGTAAGACCTTTTTTCATGACTTTTGTTAACTGTCAAATACTTCAGGATTTAACATAATGTATAAACTCTGGAAGTGAATAGGATACACATTTAGGAAAGTAATTAACTGCATCACAAGGCAAAACCTCACCTGGTACCCTTAAGGCCAAATGAGAAGAACATAAAGAACATATTACGCTGAGAAATGGAGAAAGAGATGAGAAATGAGCAAAAACTAGATCGAACTAGAATGGAAGTTTCATGATAGTGTAGGTTGGAGAATGTTAATAGGCGACCTATGCTCCATTGGAAGTAACAGGCGCAAGTAAGTAAGTAAGTAAGTAAATTATTTGTAGAACTAAAGCTAATCAATATTGAAAGAAAAGTTATTTATTTCCAATTGATTCAATTCGATTTGTATAGTTTTCTGGAATTTGTACTTAATTGTTTAATGAATGTCTTTATTTATACATATAACACGGTTTTTATATGGATTAGAGTGAAAATCATCCAGTTACTTGTTTCTGATCTGTTAGGAAGCAATAATTAGTGGGATTATGGATTAATTGAGTATGTTATTCGCTCAATTTGACATTTGATTTTATTCTGACAATATTTAACCTAAACTTCTTGTTAGTTGGCACTCATCAGCAGGGTGTACATGTAAGCATCAGTAAATTCCTAGGTTGTGGAACTGACTTGTGATGATATAATTTTATCAGGAAGTATCAATTTCGTCAAAGTTACTACTTGATAAGAATCAACTCGTTCGAAAATTTAGATTTATTATTTCTTGTTGACTTCCTCCAACCATCCTTTATCTCATCGTAATGCATACAATGTTATAACACATTAAATTTGTTTGGTTACATCTACTTCTTCAAAAATAGTCAGTTTATTACTGTAATACAGAATGTTGGATACATGTTGTAGACCATAAAATCTAAAAACTACACTGTCCGTAGGTAAAAACTTAAATTACATAATTTAGAACGACATATTTCAGGAAAACTCATGATACATCAAGTATTAAAAAGAAGAGATTTATATGTTCAAGAATGAAAGATTCCTTTATTAGTCATCTTAAATCAGCACAAAGAAATATAACTATTGAAAGTAATTAATTTGTAATCGAATTTTTCCACTTTACACCATTGTTTATTTGTTGTGTATTCATGTATGAAATAAAAACACTCTTAACGATAACAGTCAGTGGAAATATACATCAGATAATGTTCATTATCAGACAGTTCTACTGTATGGGGCGGAGATGTGGAGAACTACGAAAGCCATCATCTAGAAAATACATGTGTTTATTAACAGTTGTCTACGCAACATACTTCGCATCCGTCGGTCAGACACTACCAGCAACTAGCTACTGTAGGAGACAGCAAACCAGATTCCAGTGGTGGAAGAAATCAGGAAGAAGGGCTGGAAGTGGATTGTGCATACTTTGAGGAAATCACCCAATTACATCACAGTGCAAGCCCTCACACATAAAAGAGAAAGATCAAATAACACATTACGCTGAGAAACGGAGACAGATATGAGAAAAATGAACAACAATTAGAAAGAAATAAAAAGGAAGGTTCAGGATAGAGTGGGTTGAAGAATGCTGGTAGGCGACTTATGCTCCATTAGGAGTAACAGGCGTAGTAAGTAAGTAATGTTCATTATTAGAATTTAAGTTAATTATTTTATTATCAATATGGTTGACTGAAGTTTGATCAGTCTCGGTTAGTTGAAGCTAGTAGTCAAATAATGTGCAAATCCAAAAAAGATTTAACTAACAATATTAACAACAAAATGATCCAAACTCATTCCAATAACGATACAAAAATCATATTAAATTCAAAGTTACTTAACATCTGAATTCTGAAACTCAAAAGATAACACGTTAGTGTTAAAAGCGAAAAGTACTGGATTCGAGCCTTGATGTGAATATTAACACCCAAATATAAATTGGTAGATAGAGTCATAGAGACCTGAATAAAACGAATTCCGCATCCTAGATTCTAACGCTGCTCAAAATCCCCTTGTTCTACGTATAAGTTATAATTACTTACTCAAAACACAAAATCTATAGTGATCTAATGGTTTGTGTAACTACTAATTTGTATATACATTTAATTTTGTATGTATTTTACACAATAAAGTGCTTTTCATTATTCAACTACATAAATTGATACAAACTACTTCTATATATATCAGTATTACATAAATCATCAATTATCTTAGTATAATTGGTTTATAGAAGAATGTAAATGGAAAGAAATCTTATAGACTATGAAAGGATTCACTTATTACGACATTGTATAATTATCAGAAGAGGTTTATTTTTGTGGAGATTTTAGTAATTTTATTGTTGAAATCATGATTCCGTTGAAGCTAGAGCATCATGAAAAACCTGGGAGCACTGGACGGCTGTCTCATACTATTATGAGACTCCTCAACAGTGCGAATCCATGATCCCGCCTCAAGAGATTTGAACTCAGGATCTATCATTCTCGCATGCGAGCGCTTAAACTTTAGAATTATAAAATCTATGTTATTCATCACAAAAGATTAGGTTGACATTGTAAAGTGATGTAAAAGATGTTTGCTGCTTAAATAAAACCGTACATATATATAGGTATGATATTATACAGAATTATGAATGATTGATGGCTCGGTTGTATTTTTAATTTTGTATAACACATGACTTTAGGTAAATCAGTTAATCAAATCTAGAACTCGTTAGCTAAATATATATGAATATTAACCACAAAAAAATAAAAACGTTGACAGATATTTTCCTATGAGTTAAACAAGCTGATATTTACCTGGAGTGTCTATATTAAATACTGGAAGTGAGTCGCAATGTAAAAATCAACACTCAGATTAAGATACATACATTAAGTCAATGTTAATCAAGATGAAATACTAATCCTGGATTCAAATGTTAGCCGAATATGAAAAATATATTTGGGAATAAATCTGTTTCAATTAATATTCAGTAACTTATATATAATGATTGGATGTACACTGTTGAGAAGTCTCATACTAGGAAGAAACGGCTTTAAATGGAGGTCTAGCATTGATCGATCCATGAATTCAATGCAATCCAACAATCTCCACAACCACAAACTGGAAATGATCATGTATTCGCTAGTAGCTAGCTTGAAGAAGGAATTCCCCGGGTTCTAGGGACCAGTGGAGCTGAACTGTGTCAGATATAAAGCAGCTACCCACTAAATGCAATGGAAGACAGTCGTACAATATCGTGGGTTGATGGCAGTTAGAAATTAACACCGTTGGAAGTTAAGCGTTCGCTCGTGACAGAGAGTCCTAGATTCCATTCTTGCTTGTAGGATCGCGAATGCACACTACTGAGGAGCCCCATACTAGAACGAAACAGCCGTCAAGTACTTATACGTTATCAATGGTGGTCTTACATTGATCAATTCATGATCTCAATCTAAATTCAACAATCTTCACAACTTTAAGAACTATTTATGGACCAATGTGATATGCATATTTCTCATTGCATAATTGTTAGGTAAATAAAGTATCCACATTCGTGTCCCTCTTATCATAAGCTTTGTTTTGACCTATAAACTATTATTATAAAATTTATCATTCCTTAGTTATACCCAGTTTATTATTTACTGTCCCCCTTATTCACAGCCACATTTGGCTTAATCTTGTACAAATATTATTTTCTATTTTATCGTATGATGTAGTCAGTTTGTTTGGTATATAAACCCAATATGTTTGAGAAATAATGATTCATATTGCATAGACTGATATTGGTGTTCTTGACTTTACTGACTGGGTTAGGTAGAAAGGAGAACCGAGCAGTACTCAAGTCTGATCATACGACTTTTTATGTGTCATTGGTCCAATCAATAAATTCACTTCTCTCCAATTGAAGGTCTTATCACATTATATATTATATAAAACAAGGCACACACACACACACACGCACTCAATCAATATAACAACAATAACAACAACAATAAAATCAATAAATTAATCTTACCCTAGCAGCACCAGATGTATGCGGTTTCTCTAATAAATTCCATCCTTGCCTTTTTATATTATCATAACAACTATTACCAAATTCATCAATTAATGTAATTTGTCTTATACAATTTTCTTCTTTTTTTATTTCATCTTCAATTAAATCAATTTGTTGATGATAACGATGTGAACAACATGATTTAATAAAATTTTCATTTACACCCCAATAATATAATTCTTCTTTAAAATCAATTACACATATCATATCATTATAATGTAATTTTTTAGATCGATAAAAATTTAATATATTAAAAAATATTATTGGATTACGATCAAAATAATATTCATTATTAATTGGATTATAATCATCACATAAATTTAATAAATCATTAATATTAGTTACATAATGTAATTTACCTAATCTTGTATTTGGATAACGATCAACAATATTCCATAATATTTCATGTTTAATACCACCAACATTAATTAATGCACGTTTAGATTTAGTATTGATTAATTTTAATGTATTAGATAATAATATAACTTCTTGATTTGTAATATTTTGTGTATTACATAATAAATCATTATTCATGGTTGATGTATTTGGATGTTTTAAATAGTTATCAGATAATGCTGATAATGATGATTGAATATAATCGGATTTTGATAGATTATTATCATGTGAAAATGGATAATGGATATTTGAATACTTATTCAAGTCTTCATTGTTACACTGATGATGATGATGACGATGACGATGATGATCGTAATGATGATGTGGATGTACTGTATTCATGGAATCAGTTGTTCTTGTTGTTGTTGTTGTTGTTGTTTTATGAATTTTCTCTAAACTATTATATAATATTGGTAAATAAGGTACTTTTGAATGATTTAATGAATGATTATTATAGACATAATCATTAAATTGATAATTCATTGAATGATGTATATTATCAAATGTATTCTTTCTTTTATAATTCAAATTAAAAAATAAATGTGATGGTTCTGATCTCCAATTTGGTTTGATTTTTTTACTCCATGAATGTGTTAACTGTTGGTACTGCTGATGATGATGATGATGATGATAGTGGTGATGATGATGATCAAGTTGATTATCTACAAGAGATATTTGTTTTTCATATTGTGCAACTAATAATGGTTCATTCATTGTTGTTATTTCTTTATGTTTTAAATTAGATAATGATGATGATGATGATGATAAAACATTTGTTGATGTTATCATTGGCGATGTCAGTATTGCTTCATTGTTTATTGAAACTCCTGGACTACTTTTTGATTTAATCATTTTTAAATTCAATGATTGAATTTGAATTGGTTCATTTGAATAACTTGCTCTTGTATGATAATATGGTGTGGAAGAAGATTGTGAATGGTTGGCTGAATTCTTACAATAAGGATAAAATCTATATTTATCTCTTGGTGTCACTGTTGTTAATCCTTTGTACAAGTTACCATCCGCTTCTGTATATATGTTAGTTAAATCTTCTGGATCATCTTGTTTCATGATGACAGAACAATAATGATACTGTTGTAATTGATAGAAATGAAATGCATCTTTATATAAATAAACTTTAATGAATAATAAGAATCAATAATTTACATGAATACCCTTTACTTGGGATTACAAAAGATCATCATTATTTGCATTTTAAAAAATGTCACATTTCATTATCATAATTTTAAGTCAGTAAATGGGTACTGATTTGTATTTTATTCCCAATAATAATAATAGACCAATAAGAATACTGGAAATATTTTTCACCCCATATTTTTAATTGACCAATCAAATTTTAATAATAATGATGATTATTCATTGTCTGATAGTTTGATTGTCACAACGTTTTTTTCATAGTTGAAAGCATGAGTCAGGTATAGCTAGACTATTAAGGAGAACCTGGAAGCACTGGACGGTCGTATCGTCCTATTGTGGGACTCCTCAGCACTAAATCTTCACAAAAAACCCTTTTCATTATAATCATATGCTCACTAGTGACTTGCTTCAAAAGGTAATTCCTGGAGTTCTAGGGAGAAGCCGTGACCAGTGGAGTTGAACCAGGTTTGCTGTGAGATATCAACGCACTGAAGACAATTGGTGAACGATTGCTCAAACTTTGTGGATTGGTTGAAGTTAGACACTAACACCGTTGTATGCCGGCTGGCTCAGTAGTCTAGAGGTTAAGTGCTCTGGCGCGAGACTGGTAGGTTCTGGTTTCGGATGTCGCGAGTTGGGATCGTGGATATGCACTGCTCAGGAGTCCCACAATACAACGATACGGCCGTCTAGTACTTCCAGGTTTTCCATGTTGGTCTAGCTTTCAGTGACTCAAGCTTTCAATTATGAAAATAATAAATCTCCACAATAAACCCCTTCTGATTACAACATTTTTTGTTTGTTTTCAATAATGATTTTACGCCATTATTACAAATTAACTTGATGATAATAATTGTTCATTAAATGAATAATGCAAGATAAAAAGATCGAATCAGAATTCGTTTGTCAATGGGGGTAAAGATAAGATTATTTTATGGGAATTATAATCAATTCTCATATGATTTCATAAGTCTGGGGATAATAAAATGATAAGATAATAGCAAATGTTCAGTAGGAGACATAAATAACAAAAAGTTTAAATAAATTATGATCATACTACTAATGTATAATGTGAAACGTTTTTAAAAGAGCTGAAAACTTAAAGTACATTTCATCAAACAATGAAGTGTTCAACAACTTCTTCCAGATTACTTTATGTTATTCAGGGATATATATATATATATATATATATATATATATATATATATATAAATTTCACTTGGGAACCACGGTATCATGTTAATTAGTTCTGTGCGTTGGCGGAGTGCCCCAGGGTATAGTTTTGGGGCCAGTGTTATTTCTCTTGTATATAAATGGCCGTCCTTGTCTCCCATCATCATCGGTCTTACTATATGCTGAAGATGTCAAGATAGGTGATAGCTTAGAACATAAAAATGACCTGGAGTAGTTTTTTGAATGGTCTCAAACTTGGCAGTCTCCGATAAATACTTCCAAGTGTATTGTGATGAATATTGGTCATCAAGGTACAGATACATATATGATGAATAACGCTGAGCCACCTATTGTCCAGACACATAATGACTTACGAGTCATCGTTAGCCAAGACTTAAAAAATACTACTGTACATTGCCGTGCAATAACCGCCAAAGGTTTTATAATCCCATGGTCAATGCGTAGGGCCTTTAGTCATGTCGACGCTAAAACGTTTTTGAATTTGTATACAGTATCCGTGCGTCCTAAACTTCAGTACTGCATACAAGCTTCTAGCCATTGCTTAAAACAAGACAGTGAGCTTTTTTAAAAGGGTCACAGAACAACAACTAAGCTGATTCCTAGAATAGTGAAGCTTCAGCATGATGCACGACTGGCTAAATTAAACCCATTCTCGTTGTCATATCGAAGAACCGAAGAGGCCTTGATTACAGTTTTCAAATTACTTAGTGATAAATTTACACCTGATATGCCCTCATTTTTTTGTATTCCAAAACAGAGAATTTATGAGGACACTTGGAAAATATTTACATGCCCAGAACAAATTACTTGTCAGCTGACTATCGACCTTCATATTGAATCATCAGTGAGTATAATTCATTGCCTGAACACGTTGAATCGCTATCTGTCGACTCTTTCAAAAAAAACTTGGGTCGACTGAGAGACTTTCATTGCCAGCAATAACACAAGCCATCTAGCGGCGAGACTAAACTATATGGAAGAGCCAATCAGAAGCTTTCACTAGTTTTCAAGGTCACGGCGGTAATTTCGGAACATGACGCTTACGTACGATCGCTTTACAGCGGATTTTCGAGAAGACGTGATAATTGAGCGACTATAAGAAAAGGGATTATTAAGAAGCTCCTATACTTGTGACTGCGGTAGTCAAATGACCATTGTACGGTGTGCAGACTATCGTGATGATATTATCTTTCGATGTCCTTCATGTTGGAAGAAGAAATCAGCTCGAACAGGGACTTTTTTGCTCGGTCAAAATTAAGGTTGAAACAAATTATGCTCCTTGTTGCGAATTGGATAATAAAAGCACTGGTAACACTAGCTGCCACCTTTGCCGATGTAAGCGAAGTTTCGGCAGTTCAGTGGTACGAGTTCTGCCGAGATATTTGTGCAATAAAACTGACAAGCGTACAGCAATTGTATGGAGGAGTGAGGAATATTGTTGAAATAGACGAAACGGTTGTAAGGAAACGCAAATTCAACCGTGGCCGTTGTATAAAAGAAGATTAGGTAATAATTCTTCCATAAATATACCTCACAGGTCCTTGAAATATATAATAGATCATTACAAAAAGGACATTTCCAAAGAATCAGGAACCGGCAGGCACCAACAATCATACCGATTATACATCAATATGTGCTGCCGGGCACTACTGTTTGTACAGATGATTGTAGAGCGTACAGGTGTCTAGGTAGACTGTGATATGTGCATGAAGTCCATATACATAAGCGTCATTTCGTTGACCCTACTACTGGGGTGCACACTAACAACATAGAAGCTATGTGGTGAAGACTGAAAGAGTTTTTGAGACCTTATCATGGCTCCAGAGGCAGACTACTATGGAGCTATATGGATAAATTCATGTACCACATGCAATATGATTTTAGAACTTCCGAACCTATATCCAACCTTGATAAGTTTTTAACTCATGTAAAAGAACAGTATCCACTTTAATTCTTTGGTTTTGTATAATAAATTTTTACTGTACACTAACTGTCTTCTGATTGGCTAATATTTCTCAAGGTCATTTAAGGTTCGTTCAAAGGTCGTCCATGTTATTTAGTCTCGCCACTATATCTTAAGGGATTGATCAAAATTTTAATAGTATGTAGCTAATGGAATTGTGTTTTAATGATTCAAACTTCGAGCTCAAGTTCTGGAACTGCCTCTAGTACGAACTTTTCACTAATAGTAGAGTATATGAATTAGTGCCCAAATAATGTGCTGTATTTAAACTCATTTGGTCAAGACCACATTGAAAACTAATCTCAGTGAACTGACCGTAAGCCAAGTGATTTATATCTGGCATATAAACATTTTGCAGATTTAAAACATTGAGAGGATTACAGTTCCTGAAAACCATCACATTACGCAACTTTACTCTTTCGGATTAGGATTTTCAAAATTCATGACTTCGTCAAGTTTTCGACGGTTACCACTCTAAAATTATTGCTATAATGTTCATCATTCTCAAAACTCAGGCGGATAAGTTGACTCATGTTGGTTACTGAGGTCAATTTTAAAAAAATCCTTCCATCGCTTATCTTTGTTCATTACATCCATGTCAGTCTCACTTCCTATCATCGGTTATATATATATATATATATATATATATATATATATATATTGGTATTTTATCGTGACGTAATGCTGTTTAACTTCGCCTGTAGCACTTCTATATTTACTGACGGTCCCAAGCTCACACATAGAAGGGCCTGGTATGAGGTAGGCAAACTCATCCAATGGAAAGGAAGCTTGCTAAAAAATGCCATCTAGATTAAACAAATTACGCCGTTTAAACTCTGTGCTGATGGTTGAAGGAAGAATTATGATGCCTCATGGTGAATGTCGCGGTTCTTCAGAAGTCACGAGGCCGATACATCTTCTAACAATTAGACAAACCATTAATGTAACTATATAAAGTGTTCAGAGAATGTGGGAGAACGGTAGGATCAGTCAAGCAGCTGAGAAAATGGGAAGATACAAATTGGCCGTACTCGTGATCAGTGAAACCCATTAGACTCAAGCTGGACAACAAAGGCTAGATTCTGTTGTACTCCATCCACGAAGAGGAAAATGCCCCACACACTCATGGAGTAGTTCTAATTCTGTCCAAACACACAAGAAATGCACCCTTATGATGGAAATGTTCTGGACAGAGGATCATCAAAGCATCCTTTAAAACAAAGAACGAGGGGATCACAATGAATTATATCCAATGTTGTTCACCTACCAATTATAGCAACGACGGCGATAAAGATGAGTTCTGTGAGAGGCCGCATTCGATCATAGCAAAGTTTTTTTTCAACGTTTGAGCTATCTGTTCCTGTTGTCTATATATTTCAACAAGATATCTAGTTTTGTTTGTTTTAATACACTTTATGGTCATTAATCGCACAACCTATTCAGGTGCATTTCTGAAATGTGTACAAACTTTCGCTGTAAAGGTTACAAAAAGCTCAACCAGAGATATCATGGTTGCTGGCAATATGCAGCGAAAAGAGTGTACATTTTTCAGATGTCGATTAACCGGACTGCTAAATTCTAACAGGCAATCACTCAATATTTATCATCAGGATCGATAAAAAATTAAGAAACGCAAACTTGTTGAAGTACTTTGTGCTGAGGATTCTATATTTTACCGAAAGTATTATATTGAATATAGCTAATAATAATAAAGAAAAGATCTCCTCACACTGATGGGGACCTAAAAACTGAAATCGGAATGGGCATCACAGGATATGAACATATCTTGTAACGATACGAACTAGGGGAGAGGGACGAAAATGAGTAGAGATTCGCAAACCTATGTGCATTCAACAAATTGTCTATGGGCGGCACAACATTCCCATACAAACACACACACACACAAAGCTATATGAGTCTCACCAGATAACACCACGGAGAACGAGATAGATCATATTTGTAATAATAAAACATCCAGAAGGACAATGAAAGACATGAGAACTAGGAGAGGGGCTGCTATAGCTTCAGATTACCATCAGGTTGCGGTCATCGTGAGACTAAAGTTAAAGAAACACTGGACATCTGTGAAAATAGCGGTACAATGGTTCAATACTGACTTCATTTGACATACTGACAAACTCAACGAATTCAAGATAACTCTCATTAACGGGTCCCAAGCTCTACAGAGATATGGTAAATCAGAGAGGCTAGTCAAGGGCAAAGAAGGAAAGACAATCACTGAGATTCAAGAACAGAAGAACAGATGGGTAGAATACTTCGAATAACTGCTGAATAGACCAGCTCCATTGAATCCACCGGACATCGAAGCAGCACCTATAGACGTTCCTATATCTATCACTCCGCCAACAATCGAGGAAATCAAGATGGCCAACAGACAAATCAAGAGCGAGCAAGCAGCAGGACCTGACAATACCAGCTGAAGCACTAAATTGAGACACTAAAGTAACTGCAAACATGCCTCACCTTCTATTCACGAGGATTTGGAAGGAAGAACAAGTGGCGATGGACTAGAAAGAGGGATACGTCGTCAAGGTATCAAATAAAGAAGATCTGAGCAAATGTGAAAACTATAGAGGTATCACGCGACTACCGACACCATGCAAAAGTTTGGAACAGTGTTGCTAAACTGGATGAAAGATTGAGTGGACGCCCAATTTTGAGATCAACAGACTGGATTACTTAAGCATTGGTCATGCACAGACCGAATTGCGACACTTTAGATCATCGTCAAACAATCAGTTGAGTGGAACACGTCAATATACGTAAACTTCATTGACTATGAGAAGATACTTGACAATGTAAACAGAACACTTTGGAAACTTCTTCTACACTACGGAGTTCCTGAGAAGATTGTCAACATTATCCGGAACTCCTACAATGGACTACAGTGCAAAGTGGTGCATGGAGGACAGCCGACAGACGCATTCAAAGTAAGGATTGGAGTCGGAAAAGGCTGTTTACTCTCTCTCTCTTCCTCTTTCTTTCGGTGATTGACTGGACTATGAAAACCTCGACACCTGAGGGGAAGCACGGAATACAATGGACATCTCAAAATCAATTAGACTATTTGGACTTCGCACATGACCTAGGCCTCCTATCCTATCCACATGAACAAATAGAGACGAAGACAATGTAGCAGTAGACTCTGAATCAATAGGCCTCAACATACACAAAGGAAAAAGCAAAATCCTCAAATACAACACGGAGAACGCCAAGTCAATCACGCTTGATGGTGAGACTCTGGGAAATTTAGAAATATTGACGTACCTGGGAAGCATCATTGATGAACAAGAAGGATCTGATGCAGATGTAAAGGTAAGGATTGGCGAGGCAAGAGGCTCATTCACACAATTGAATAACACAGAACTCAAAACAACTGCCAACCAATATCAAAGTCAAAATTTCCAAAACAAACTTCAAGACAGTCCTACTGTACGGGGTTGAAACGTGAAGAACCATTACAACCATCGTTAAGAAGATATAAGTATTTTTAAACAGTTATCTTCTCAAAATACTCAACGTCCATTGACTGGATCCCATCGGCAACAGCCTACTATGGGAAAGAACAAACCAGCTTCTATCTAAAAATGAAATTAAGGAAAGCACGTCGTAAGTGGATAGGATATACATTGAGGAAATCACCAAACTGCATAACTAGACAAGCGCTAACTTGGAACCGTGAAGGGAAGCGGAAAAAAGGAAGGCCAAAGAACACATTGCATTGGGAATAGGAAGCAGATATGAAAAGGATGAATAGCAACTGGCAACAATTGGAAAGGATTGCTTAGGACAGAGTTGGATGGAGAATGCTGGTGGGCGGCCTATGCTTCCCACGAGTAATGACAGGCGTAAGTAAGCAAGTTAGTGAGGTTTCTTAACAAAAAGAGTCGAGCTCGTCCCCCTTCAGACTTCACAAACCTTGCTAGACCAAAAAGAAATATTACCCATCAATGTAGTTATCATCTAACGGCTGGATTATTTTTATCTCATATAAGCTACATGTACGTAAATTCGAATCCATTAATCTCCAATTCTAACTATTTACTCTATCACGGCTTATTAGAACATGTTCATATTTCGCTACTCTTTATCTTTATATTGTGTCGGTACTACGGACATGTTTTAACGGATCTGTTATATTCTACCCTAATTATTATCATGATTTATTGCAATATTATTCCTACAATTTACTACTGTTTTCACGGTATGTCGAATCGCTCATATGAATGTGTTATATTATCATTCAGATAGTGACGATATAAATACATGTGGATTTTTTGTACGCTTATTAATTTGCTCATAAACACATAGTAAAATTCCATTATCTCTGTCCACAATTTTACGACATTCATGTGCAATTTTTTTTTTACATAAATGACAAATTTCGTTTAAACACTCACTTTTCACGTGACACTGTACATAATTAGGTATAGTACTATTTTTCTTCGCTACTTTTTAACGTTATCCACATAACTCTTCAGTGTTATTTTCGGAAACAGGCATTTTTCAAATTAATGCGCTATTTTCTACAATGAGGTTTCGTAGGGGTTGGTACTGGGTCAAGCTCACATATTCTAACCTCTGAAAAGATCAGTCTATTCATTCTTCTCAAGTCACATTTTCATCCTGTCACTTCACTGCTTATTAATCCTGACTGTTTTGTTATATTATCAGAAGGGGCTTTGAGCAGATTTAGTATTTTCATAGTTGAAAGCATGGGACAATTGAAGCTAGTCCGCCAAGGAAAAATTGTGAGACATTAACACCATTGAATGCCGGCTCAGTGGTCTAGAGGTTAAGTGCTCTGGCGCGAGACTGGTAGGTTCTGGTTTCGGATTTCGCGAGTTGGGATCGTGGATTCGCACTGCTGAGGAGTCCCACAATAGGACGAAGCGGCCGTCCAGTGCTCCCGGATTTTCCTTGGTGGTCTAGCTTCAATTGACTCATGCTTTCAACTATGAAAATACCAAATCTGCACAAAACCCCTTCTGATAATAATCATATGCTCACTAGTGACTAACTTCAAGAGAGAATTCTGAGAATTATTTATTGTACCAGATTATAATACCGAATAAAGCCATTAAAAATGATAATAATGCCTGGAGTTCTAGTGAGAAGTAGTGACCAGTGGAGTTCAAACCACGTCTGTTGTGAAATAGAACCTTATTGAAAACAAGTGGTGAACAGTTGCTCAACTTCGTGTTTTGTTATATGATAGAATGTGTGCCAATTACTCACCTTACTCATTATGTGATTGCAGCTCATTTTTATCTGACTATAAATATAGATTCACGACTGGCTAAATTGAGTTGGCTCACTAGCCTTCTCCACCACGCATCATTTTGTTTTACTTCGCTTTCCTATCAACGATTGTTAGAAATATATGTATTCAAAAATCCATTCTCGTATTTGACTTATTTAATTCCGTTATTCACTAATGCGAGTTATGTTGATGATTATATATACGAGGGAAGCAAAGATGTATATTTCGACAACAATCATTAGGTAACGACCATTCGTCTGATTCAACTGGAGTCATGTTTAGGGTCACTGAAAAAGTTGACTGGAATAATTACAATAACCCTATATTTTCATAAGTGAATTCTAGTTAGATGTTAATTTCTGACAGGTTAGTTTGGTGAATAGTGCTTCCTCAAAATAAAATGCCAGAAGAAAAGTTGAAATATACGGAATTAATTGTTACAATATTTTCAACGGCCATTTGTACTCTATTCATGTGCACAGTTTTACATTATTATATATTCGTCTACATTAGTTATCAATTTTTTAACAATCAATAGTTTATGTAGTTATCGGAAACTTTTTGAGTTATTCTACTTCGGATATTCCGAACTTAGTTTCGACTAGTCTTTATTTAATATATTGAAATTTGGTAGTGCGATCTACGGCACATTCTGTTTAGGACTAGTTAGTTTGGCCTACTCCAAAAGGTACATATATGTAAACAAAAGTTGATCAAGGGTGAATCCTCAATATCAATAAATGGATCATTCAAACCCCTAATAATAATTATATAAAAATGATGTACATTGAATACTATAGTGGCTATCTGAACCCAATAAAACAGTTTAGAGCGTATTGAGATGTAAAGAGAAAGTAATTAGGTTGAAGTCCAGTGTAAACACTAATATTATTCAGAGGAGTCGCAAATTCAACAAAACACACCTACTTGATTCCGCTGTTAGCTACAATCAACCAATCTTCCCATGTACTAACAAGAACACATGAGGTATTACTAATTTACTGATTATTTAATTTCGGATGAATCAATGTAGAAATATGAATATTTTCCACCGGTTAAAGAAAACATTTATTCATCATGACAAAATATTTTCTCTCATTATTTTATTCTAGTTATAACTCATAAATCCAATTTGACGAGCATTTTGTCCTATTTGCGATTGATCATCTGGATGTACCTGCATCTCAGAGTTGATGTTCACTCTGCGACTCGAATCCAGTACCATTCGCTTCACATATACCAATAAGAGACTGATCAATTGCAGTCCTAAACATTAACGGGTAGATTCAAACAAACGATACCAAATTAATTTAATCTCTAAACTAGTTGTTGATGAGTAAACGTAAAACAAAAAATAAGCTATTTTACAAACTCCCTAGTAACAATATTAATACAATAGATAACCATATCATTTTTCTCAATTTATGGAATTTTTTTTTCAAAAAAAAATGCACAGATTTATCTATGACCCCCTTATTATTATTTTTGTTTTGTTGTTTTTAATCATTCATCTCTCATACCATAATATATCCTTTACTTCAAAGTATTTCAATGTAATTTGAATATCATTCAACTTCTTAATTGATTATCTAACTTTCTCAATTGTTTCTATTCTTCATTTGAATACCCCCCCACCGCTTTTCTTTTTAAGATTCTTTCTTTGATTATAACAATTTATTGTTTACTCTATTTCACTATTATGTTTATTTTGTATCCATAATGAAAAAAAAATAAAGGAACAAACTCATTTGTTTCTAGATCAAGATTTGACTATTATTGATAAATTTAATATGACTTCATTGTGATTCTGTTGTTGTTGTTGTTGTTGCTGAACTTATACGATTTATCTGATTGATTAAAAGGGAGAAAAGATTAGATGATCTATGCTAAACAAACTAAACACCACCTTTCAAACTTGTATCTTATTCAGTATATTGAGATAAAATGCTTTTATGTTCAGTTAGGCTTCTTTTCACTATCAACTCTATCTTTGACAAGATATAGATATATAAATAATATTGAAATAATAAATTTATTTAGTATTGTTTGTTTGAATCTTCCTATTGATGTTTAGAACGGCAATAGATTAGTTTCTTAACCGCATATGTGTATCCTGTCGTAATTGCTTTGATATCACTTCAATTCTAAGCAAAAATGGCTGGTGGCTAACAGTAGAATCCAGTTTGACGTGCATTTCGTTCTATTTAGTACTTGTCAGCTAGATTACCCGTATCCCGGAGTGAATATCAACTCAGATGCAGGTACACCTAGCTGAAGAGTCACGATTAACATGAAACTCAGTTCTACTGTTAGCCACCAACTAACTTTGCCTACATACTAATTCTTTTCGTATTTTGTAGTCTATTATATTTAGAATTCTAGATTGATATTACCATAGTATTGTTTTAAATTTGAATACTGTTTATGATAATTAAATTGAACTTATACTTCTGTAGGATCATAAAAGACTACCTTGAAAAGAAGAATTTTACTTCACAGATATATATATATATATATATACCCAATAAAGATAACCAATAATTATAAGCCCACCCATTATGTAATAGTTGAAACATTTCCGACATAGTATTTAGAACTTGAAAGTTTAAAAATAGTTATAATAATAATTATTATTGACTAGTTCACGGTGGTCGTTTACTTTCTTTATGTGTATACAAGTGTGTAAAATCGTATTCTGTTCAACAAAGAAAATTCGGTTTTTTTTTTAACAGAACACAAATTCATACCGATCACTGTGTGGGTGAGTGTGTAAATATTATTAGAATATTTTATAAATTTTACGAGACAGGCAAATATCGTTATGATCATGGGTCGATTGAAGATAGAACACTGTGGAAAACCTGGAAGCAATGAACAGCCGTTTCGTCCTATTATGAAACTCCTCAGCAGTGCTCATTCAAGATCCCACTTCGCGAGATTCGAACCCAGGATCTACCATTCTCGCGTCAGAGCACTTGATGGATAGACCACTGAGCTGGCATCCAACGGTTTTAATGTTTAATCTCAACCAATGCACCAACTTCCATTGTACTGAGGTAGATACCTGTCTCTACCTGACATGGATTAGCTTCACTAGCCACGAGCTCTCACTAGAAATCCAGGAATTATCTCATGGAGCCAGGCACTAGTAAGCATATGATAATTATCACAAGGGGGTTTTGTGGAGATTGGTTAGACATTAACACCTCTGGATGCCGTCTCAGTGGTCTAGAGGTTAAGTGCTCTGGTGCGAGACTGGTGGGTTCTGGGTTCGAACCCTGCGAGGCGGGATCGTGGATGCGCACTATTGAGGAGTCTCACAATAGGACGAAACGGCACAGTATTGAGATCGGAAGAGTCGTGTTTTGATTGCTGGATTATTCACGTGAAAAAAACCGGACATAAAATCGTAACGAATTGAATAGTCCTATTTTTTATAAAGTCATAATAGTTTGTCAATATTATCCTAGTTGAATTTAGTTTTCTATCCTAATTGACATCAAATGGAAAACTATTGAACATCAGAGGGCACTGGATAAATATTCTATTCCAATTCTTAACTACTAACAGTTGTACACTAATAATTCCACTTGGAAACTTGAAGAAATCATCAGTATTATTTAATCGTTCAGTCAGTAGGACGAATCGCTTTGTAATAAGATGACTAGTTTTTTAAAATGTCAACCATTCAATTTTGATTCAGTGATTCAAAGGTATCACACTCCCTACGATGTCTGTATATCGTTGGTTTCATCTTGTGTAACGTAGTATACACATATTGTTGTGAACGAGAACACGGCGGGGGCACAAAATTGCAGATTATCTCACTTGAATCTGATAACCATACAGTAAACAGTTAATTTGCAAAATAACAATCAATTGTCTCAATTTTGACTGTTCCTTCTGCAAATATCAGTCCATCTTCTCTGATTTCATTGTTCATGCATTGTCGTACCAATTGCGTCCCGTTTCCGTTCTCTACTTATCGATCTTCTACCGAAATACATTCAATCCCCGACCATCTTTATATACTATTTGTGTGGATATAAGTTTCGAACTAGACTTAAACAGGCATAAAATTCTTTCTAGTTTTTCAATATCTCAATCAGTCAGTCAGTCAGTTACAACGTAGAACTTCGTACGTACGTACATCAGTTCGAGTCGCCGTACCACATTAGCACAGAGATGAAGAGGCAACGACGGGTTTCTCTATCTTTCCGAGTCCTTACTGATCCGTTTAGTCGGACAGCGCATAGACTACTGTCTACTGGGATCCAGTCTAAAAGAGCTAGTTCTGCCCTACGACTTAATGCTATACCTACTCCAGCGAGGCCATGGAAAGCAGCATCAGGGCTTCCAGATACACGAAACGTGTATCGAGATGAATCTTTATTTTGATTAGGTGAGATCAAATGAATGATGCTACTCGGATCTTGTATGCGCGTTTCGGAGACGTAGCACACATCGATGGTGTAAGATTCTAGAGTCCTAGCTAAGGAAGCCTGTTGTCCTATTTGGCACAATGTTTGGACATTAAAAGTTCCTATATGTAGTTTAGAGCGTGGTTTCAGGAGACCAGGAATAAAGTTCCGTGTACTTGAATCGTTTGCCCTAGCGGTGCGAGGTGATAAAAAGACGTGGGAAGGGTTAGTCGTGGAGATAAGAGAGTTATTAGGAGGTGTAGGAAGGAATTGAAAGTGACCAACTTGGTCTCGTGTGCAGTTAAGGGTATGAGGGCTAATATCGCCACCCGGCTGCCCACACCGTGGAAGGGTATTTCTTGAGGGACCTGAAAAAGAAGTTGGATTAGTGTTGGTCTGAACGACCTGGAAGCGTGACCACAGTAGTTTTTGTGTTAGCTCCGTACTTGTTGAAACCTTACCTCCGTAGACTGATATCCGTGGGATAAGGCGAGGTGTGCATTTTTAGGGTCGACCTTTTCTAATCTCACCCCTCCTTGTAAGAAGGCAGCATCGCTGTTATGCTGGTTGTCTGAAGGAAACACCTTACTGCTGTCACACCTCTGTACAGTCAGCAGTACGACTTCGCCTTCGGACCTTGGGATTGCTGTTTTTAGTCTTACCGCTCTTCAACCGACCTGTCTGGCATGGTAGGACCTTGAGGAACGATTGTTCCAGCCAGCATAGCTCGATTGGTTTATCACGATAGGCAAGCCCGACCACCACGTCAAGGTAGAAGCAACGGTCGTGCAATATCTCAATGCTTAATGTCAGTTCATAATTTTAGCTAACTAAATTATTATAATTGTATTGAATTTCTACTCATATTAATGGGAACATTTCAACATCGCTATTTTACCTGTGAGACACAACAGTAGTATACATTGATGTTATATCACTAGTTGAATGTATAATGTGCATATTATGTATTACATTGAATAAGTCGGTATTTTCATTCTTTATGGTTGAATAATTTTCAAATTATGTAACTAGGTTATTCACATCGTTTATATTAGAAACCATCTAGCCGAAATTGAATGAATCGATGGGGTTGTTTTTGACAAACATTTTATTTAGCTACAAAATATATCAATGATGAACTGAACATATGTGTTACTGAAATAAACATATATGAACTGTGAGTAGTATGTTTATTTGATTTAACTAAATTAAAAATTAGTTGACAAAATATCTATCTATTATGTTCTGTCTGATTAGTACGCTAATTAAGTGACTGAAACTCATTGATTATCAATGAACTGACTGGACGGTTGTTGAATTTGAAAAGGAAGTTGTATGTATACGGTTTTTGAAGTGAACTCCAGGATGGACGTTTTATCCCCTGTTTGTATCTTCTATCAGCTTTTATGAAATATCTCATTAGTTTTTTTTTTGTCACTTTAAACAACAACATCAGTACGAACTTTGAATAAAGGCGATTTTTGAAATTTTCTCATCAAATAAATAACAATTTTAATAGTTGAGATCGTGAATCAATTGAAGCTAGACCATCATGCAAAACCTGCTAGCACTGGATGGTCATTTCGTTCTATTGTGGTACTCTCCAGCAGTGTGCATCCACAATCCCACCTTGCGAGATTCGAATCCTGAACCTATCAGTCTCGCGCGCGATCTCTTAACTTCTAAACAATTGAGCTGGCCGGCATCTGACGATGTTAATATCTAACTCTAACCGATCCACGAAATCGAGCGATACATCTATCAATGTCTTCAGTGAGTTGATATCTCACAACAGACCTAGTTGAACTCCACTGGTCACTTAATCTCACTAGAACTCCAGGAAATACCGTTGGATACCGGCTCAGTAGTCTAATGGTTAAGAGCTCATCCACAAGACTAATAGGTCCTAGATTTGATTCTCGTGAGGTCTGATCGTGGATGCGCACTACTGACGAGTCCTACAATACAATGAAATGGTCGTTTAGTGCTTCTAGGTTTTTTATGGTGAAAATGCCAATTTAAGCTTTATTGAAATTAGATAATCCTCTTTTTTTGATCTACAACTCTTGACTGTCATTAAAAATTCATAAATAAACCAATGAAATACAATGAAAATAACATTAAGATATTAATAATTTTCTTCTTCTACAATATACAATTAATAATAACATAATAATAATACATAAAATAAATAATAACCCCCCTAATGAAAATGTAGTTAAACGATATATTTCTAAATTTATTGGTATTATATTTGATATTGGATACCTTGGTAACCATAGAAGTTGTTTCTTATACAAATTAATCCAATATGAATATGTATTCATTCGATAATTTTGTTGTAAATCAAAATCACCATGGATTCTTTTTAATTCTAAATATGATTGATAATTTCCATCCGATAAAATAAGATTATCAGTTAAATTTAACCATAAATATGTTCGATTTTCAATACGATATGTATCCCATGTTATATTACGTAATGGTTCTGGTGTAGCATTTGATGATTTTACAAAATTCGATATTAATGATAATATATAACTACTCATTTTTATATCAAGATTTGTATATTGATAACTAGGGGATTTAAGATTTAAATCAATTAACCATTGTTTATTGATTTCTTCTATAGTTTTATATAATTGTAATAATGGTAATCCAAATAAATATGGTAATTCTGAACCAGGATAGATACCAATTAGTTGACTCCATAAATCATTTTTGGATTGATAACCAAAAATATACATTTGTGTATGATTAATGGGTAAATATTGATTTGTTTGTGATTGTAATTTCTTTTTAGCAAATCTTGGATTGGAATGATATTGAAGGGTTTGAATTAAACCAGAACCAATAAAACGATCTGTCCAAGCAGAACGATACATTTTCCAATGTGAAAATGGATTCTCTTTATTTGGCCAGTAAGTATATTGAAAAAGTAAAGAATTTGTAATACCAATTGGATCCTATTGAAATGAAATATTTAGAATAGGAATATAAGTTACACTGATAATGATAGTGTTGGTTATTGAGGTAAGATGGTGGTTGGAGGTGGTCAACAGGAAACTCTGGACAGGTACACCTTGCTGACGAGTGCCAAGTAGCACGAAACCCGGGTCCAGGGTTTCCTGTTGACCACCTCCAACCACCATCTTACGTCAGTATATATAGTGCAAGCAGTGTTGAGCCATCTAGACTGGTGGCCACATTGCAACTCGATCGATAGCATTCGATCAGCACTAAGAAGGACCTGACATGCATGAGATTGATCACCACCCAGTGATCAATCAATTGTCAGTGTTGGTTATTATATAAGAGATTTATTAAATAAAACTTTTCAGTGAAATTATATCGATCCTGATCGACACCATTTATGATGTTGAGAATTATTAGTGGATGTGAAAAGAAAAAAAACAGGCCTTCTAAATCAAGAATCTATCACTAGTTAGTTTCGGTAGGCTTGCAGTGACTTGCTCAACGTGGAGCCCATATAGGTTATTTTAGTTTCTGGACAGAGCAGTTTATTCATTGTTTTTAAAACCAAACTTTGACTTTATCACTTATTCGCTTATTAACCTTGACTGTTTTTATATGAGCGTATGTGTATGCACTTCTTATCTTATTCATCTCATATGTGCAACTTATTTTTGTTTGACTATAGATATTGAGTCACACCTGATAGCAAAGCGCGTCATTTCACTTCACTCTCTTATCTACGCTTCCTTCACTTCGTTCCTATGATTGTCAGTCCAGGTCAATGAGTGTAGAAAATAAACGTATTCAAACCTTATTCTCGTATATGGATTATTTAATTCCGTTATTCACTAAGGGGATTAAAGTCAATGATTATTTATGAGGATCGACGATATGTATAAGTCGATAACGATAATCACGCAATCAGAATAGGAGTCAGATATTCTAGGGTCATTGAAGGCTATGAGATTCTCAAAGTTTATAATTCGTCTCCTTATATTTGAAATCGCGCTAATATTGTTTAAAGTTTGATAATATTTCTAGGGAAGATTAGTATATGCTTAGATTCTTTATTCAGTCGTAAGTATTTTCATTATGAACTTCATATGTAAGGTAGTTGGAGGTAGTCGACAGGAAACCACTGACTCGGATTTTGTTTTAGTTAACACTCATTTATAAGACGTACCTGTAAAGTTAAGGAAACTGATGCTTCCTATAACGTACGATCTCAGGCATCCAGATCCACAATCTGAGATGTTAGCGTTGAGTTATTTAGACAATTACTAAACAACTCTAATACCGATATGTTTGCAATTCATTGATTAGTAAGTAGTGACCAGGTACATCCATCTGACGAGTCCCAAATAGAACGAAACGCGCGTCAAACTGGATTCCACTGCTAACCACTATCTATATGTGCTTATAATGCTTGTGAATTAAGGCAATATCGAGGCAATACTCACAGTATGCACAAATACTAATAAGAGACTGGCCAGTTGCAGTCCCAAACATCAATTAGATGATTCAATCAAACAATACTAAGTGAATCATATATTTGTTGATGGAGGTTAAAATTATCAAGAAATTGAAAAATTTCAAACAGACAACATGAAATGAACTACATTCATCTGAAATGGTATTTTACTATTGATGTCTTACAAAATTGTTTGTCAACAGATAAACTACTTCTACTGAGATTATATCTCGAAGAGAATTATGAATGGTAATTTTTGAGAACTATTTATAGACCACTATCATACATATGGCTTTATTGTATAATTGTTAAGTAGGTTAACTATGCATATTCATGTTCTTCTTATTATACGCTTTATTTTGACTTATAGACTAGTATTATACTATTTATCGTTATTGAGCTATGATCAGTTTATTAATTACAGTCTTCCACAATCATAGCTACATTCGGCTAGATCTTGTACAAATGTTATTTTCTATTTTTTGATTACATATGGTCTGTTTAGATTGTATATAAATCCATTATGTTTAGAATACATGATTCGTTATTATGACGCTGAAATTGCTGTTTCTGAACTCAATAGGCAAATCTAGGCAAGGAAAAGAAGCGTTAAGCACTCTAGACTGCTCGTACATGTTTACACTTCATTGGTCCAGTCAATATAATTCACTTGTAGTATCAGTTTATATGTTAAGCCCATATACTTTATTCTAGTTGCTGGCCAAGCCAATTCGCCTGTCATGAGTCATATTTTGATTGTGTTAATCATTCGCTTATTAACCTTGACTATACTTTTATATGAGTGTATATGTGTACACTTCGTATCTTATTCATCATATGTCTGTCACTCATTTTTGTCTGACTATAAATGTTGATTAACGCTTGCTTAAATCGAGTTGGCTTCCCAGCCATCTCCAATACGCATTATCTTTCGCCTCACTCTCGAGTTGGCTTCCCAGCCATCTCCAATGCGCGTCATTTTTGTTCCGCTCTCATCTGTTTGCTTCATTACTCTGATTCTCTGACCAGATCGATGAGTAAAGAAAATATATGTATTCTAAATCCATTCTCGTATTTGACTTATTTAACTCCGTTATTAACCAACTCGGATCAAGTCATTTATTACATACGAGGATAGACAGTACGTATATTTTAGCAACAAACAATCATTCATACGAGCAAAAAGGAATCAGATTTACGGCGCAAAACACTATCCTCTATTAAGTGGTATCATTACTTTATATATGATTAATAGGACCCTAAAGCCAATAAGTTATAACAATTCATATTTCAGTAGTATATAAAAATTTAATCCCAAGAATCATTGAAGTATACACCTGTATATTATTCAATTAAGTATTAACCATTTGAATTCGATCAAGTACATACAATAATTTATATTCATTGATTATGTAACATAAGTTGTATTATACCATGATAATGATAAATGACTTTATGTTTTTCCCTAAGTATTTTTGTGAATAAATTAAAAGGGTTGTATGTATTAGTTCATTTTACAGTCATATCGCCGCCATCATCGTCGTCGTCATCATCATCATCATATGGTCACTTATAATAAATGATTTAAGATTGATTTAAGAAATACTATTATCCTGTATATGTAGAAAGGAGAACAAATATATGTCTAAGGATATGCTTACATTTATTTTCTACATTTCAATTCTGTAAAAATTTTGGATGTTGATGAATGATTCTAATTTTGAATGATTTTAAGTAGAGAGTAGGTACAATTCCTACAGTAAGTAAGTTAGTCAGTAAGTAAGTATTTAAGTCAGTATGTCAGTCGGTCAGTAAGCAAGTACTTAAGTAAGTCAGTAAGTAAATAATTGATAAGTCTTGTTAATTGAACGCTATACTCTGTTCATAAGCTATTGTCGTAACTCCTAAGCTAAATCTACACAGCAACTTGAACACGAGTGTTGCATCCTAGTGAAGACATGAGTACGAGTAACTCTCAGGAACTATTAATGGTCTATTATTCTATATATATTCATATTGTTTACTTACTTACTTACGCCTGTTATCCCTCGTTAAGGAGCATAGGCCGCTCACCAACATTCTCCATCCAACTCTGTCATGAGCCTTCATTTCCAGTTCTTTTCAGTTAACATTCATCTTTTTCATATCTGCTTCTATTTCCCGATGTAGTGTGTTCTTTGGCCTTCCTCTATTCCGCTTCCCTTCCGGATTCCAAGTTAGGGATTGAGTAGTGATGCACATTGGTGATTTCCTTAATGTATGTCCTATCCACTTCCAACGTCTTTTTCTAATTTCCTCTTCATATTGTTTAACTATTGAGTAATTAGATTGTGTATATCTATATTCATTTTATTATAAGCTTCATTTTGATCTATGAATTATTATTATACGATTTACTGTCCCTAAATTATATTCAGTTTATTGATTACTGTCTCCCACGTTCACAGCCACATTTGGCTTGATCTTGTATAAATATTATTTTTTATTTTATGGTTTGATGCGCTCTGTCTGTCTGTCTGTCTGTCTGTCTGGTATATAAACTGAGTATGCTTGAAATAAATGATTCTCATAGATTCACATAGCCGAAGCTGTAATTGGTGTTCTGGACTGAATTGGAAGGACTAGGTGGACAAGGGACCAATAAGGACGCTAGACTGCTCATACTGGTCGAACGTCATTGATTTGGCACAGTGTTAAGATTAGACAAGTCGTATTCCGATTGGTGGATAAATTACGTGACAAAAAGACGGATATAAATCATAACGGTTTGGCATGCGACCTTCTTATTTTATATTCATAACAAATTGGCGATGGCCTTTTATAAAGTCACAACAACGAGAGAAAAGGCACAAAATATGCGAGAAGCATTTTACCCCAGAGGGTTCATTTATGTACAGAAAATATAGGGTTTTTATAGTATTTTAGAACCCTTTGGGTTTTTCAGAAAATTTTGGAATGCTACTAGACATAGTAGCAGTATAGTAATCAATCAATCAGAAACTCTACATGTGACTTTTCACTTTCGTGATGTTTCTGGCAAAACTTCTAGTGAACGCTGATTGTATAAAATGCTTCTTAGTGTTTCCTGAGCTTTTCTTGTCTTGTACGAGAGATTTTCTGGATCACTTCAACAGTAAGTAAGTAAGTACGTTAGTTATTTATATAGTTACTTATTTAGTCAAAACAAACATTGACGAATAAATGATTCAGTCTTATAGGTTAAATTACGGTATACAATTAGTTATAGGACCATTAAAACCAGGAAGCATTGAATACTGATTTCATCCTAGTAAGTTAGCATTTATGACCTCATATTAGATCAATCTTAAAACCCTTTTGGCCTTGTTAACTCAAATTACAAATGATAATTAATAGATATCAACTCTGTGGTTTAAAGTTTAAAAACTCCCCCTGAAGCCTAAATGTCCTCGGTTCGATTACCAATAACATCTTGAATATATTAATATCAAAGCTATCCATCCGAAATTCATATCTACCAATATAGACTGAACGATTATACATAATCCTGGATATGAACAATGAAATAATTATATGAATTCAGTCTTGGTATATTTTAAGAAGTAATCAACGAGGATTTAACCAAACAGAAAATTTCCTGTTATTCTATTCAAATCTTTATTCTTACTCTCTTCAAACTAATTGACAATTGGAATTATGTGTACCTGGATGAGGGAATAAATCTTTCTTATATATTCATGCACACACATAAATGTTTTTCAACTATTTTTTTTATTATTCTTTTAATCTGAATTAAACAATCAAACATGATCCAAGAGAAAAAAGAGCATTTATAAAGTATAAATCTATCCTTATTCTCAGAAGGAGTTTTGTAGATATTATATAGCAATTTCAATAGTTGAAATCATGAGTCAATTGAAGCTAAACCATCATGGAAAACCTGAAAGCACTGGACGGCCATTTCATCCTATTGTGGGACTCCTCAGCAGTGCGCATCCACTATCCCGCCTCGCGAAACTCGATCCGAGGGCCCATCAGTTTCGCGCGCGAGCGCCTAACCTCTAGACCACTAAGCCGGCATCCAACGTTATTTCCTGGAGTTCTAGTGAGAAGCAGTGACCAGTGGAGTTCAACTAGGTCTGTTGTGAGATAGTAACTCACTGAAGACATTGATGGATGTGTCACTCAATTTCGTGGATTGGTTGAAGTTAGACATTAACACCGTCGGATGCCGGCCAGCTCAATTGTCTAGAAGTTAAGAGCTCGCGCGCGAGACTGATAGGTCCTGAGTTTGGATGTAGCGAGTTGGGATCGTAGATGCGCTTTGCTGAGGAGTAACACAATAGGATGAAATAGCCGTCCAATCCTTCCAGGTTTTCCATAGTGGTTTAGCTTCATTTGATTCATGATCTCTACTATCCTTATTCCTTATAAATTGGTTGAAATTAGATGTTCAAAAGATGAGAGCAATAATAAGAATACTGTGTATGTAGCACAGATAAATAGCTTGATTTACTTAAGAAAACACAGTTGAAGAAGTACCAACGATACAGTAGAATTCAATCAAAGGTATGACAAATGTTTTTCATATACCTTTAATTTCTATTTTAGAAACTGGATTAAATTGAAAATATGATCCTCTGATAAGATCCAATATTACATTTTATGAAGATACAAGTAGTTAGTCTAATTTCAGGTTTCGTATTTGATGTACAGATATCATAATCAATAATATGATAAAAATAAAGCCCATTCTGTAATCAGTCAATTAATGATACAACAGTCTTTTGAAATTATGCACTTAAGAGTCAAGTTGTTCTTAAGGATCCACTATCCCGTTTTATCCAATTTGCAAAGTGACAGCTGAAAGAAACCTATATCTATTGTTATCGTTCACATTAAGAATCGAACCTTGTATCTCTCACTTCAAATACCAATTCATTGTGCACTGAGCCGCTGATTTCAGATTGCTAGATTCACTTTTTATGATTTAACTGATCAAAATTCAGATTTAGATATCGATATTTGGAGAATACGAACCCTTACTAATAATAGTGTTAACATCGTGCTCATTAAACATGTTTGATATTATCTGAACTCAGCGTACCACTCTTTGACGAGTTAGGCATTTAAAGCAAAAGGTAATGAGTTTGAGTTTTAGCATGATCATCATCACATTGAGACGTGAGTGCATCCAGTTGAGTCTTAAACAGAAAGAAACTAGTTTATTAGATACTACTGCTAGCGATCACCCATCTATTCCATAAAAACCGTGACAGAATCTTTGTGACAAAGCATTATCAACAGAATGCACATATGGCAGCATACAATGACCAAAACCCCTTTAGGAATATCAATAGTGAGATAATTTAAACATTTACTAATCAAATAAATAGGTTCGAAATTATCAAATCATGAGTTATGGGTTGGTGATAAAATCTTCCTAACTTCACCTATCCTAATGTTTACTAATGAGTTCCATGTTCGTTAACCTTATATTTACCAGTGAAAGAGCTCCATTCTCAGTCGTTATTTATAAACATAAGGTCAGATTAAAATTGATCTTTACAACTTAGGTAGACATTAAAATATATTCTCTTAGTGTAAATAGAAGAGGGAATCCTTAAATTTCCATCATGTTTTTTCCTGAAAGATATAATTTTTTCTATGACCATAATTCAAGAGCACTCTAATTATGATAGACTTAATGCTCAAGTTTTCCGTAACTCATTGTTACTATAACATCAATATTTTTAATTATAGAAGGGGTTTTGTGGAGATTTAGTATTTATCATTGTTGAAAGCGTTAGTCAATTGAAACTAGACCATCATGGAAAACCTGGAAACACTGGACGGCAGTTTCCAGTGTTTCCAGGTTTTCCATGGTGGTCTAGTTTCAATTGACTCATGCTTTCAACAATGATCAATATTTTTGTTGTTAATTTTATACTACTGAATTTCTAACCAATAGTTAACTCATTATAGTTAAAGTGCATGATTATACTACGAATCGTGTTTACCGCTTTAAAAGATGATGAATGAAATAAAATCACCCGGACAATCATCTTTGAATAATCGAAACTTTTTACGTATTGAACTATTTAACTTACCAGTGCAAAATCATTTTTCACCATTTCCATGAAACCTGAACGCATTAAATCAATTGACATACCAGAAAATTCAGGATTTGGATTCAACAATTCGAAGGAATCCAAAGCGCTATTATGTGTACTATTTATTAAATTCCAACTTATTGGGACATCCAACTGATAAATTGATGCTAATGCATGAAAAACACCATCATCCACAACCATACCACCAATAAGCTAGAAAACAATGAAAGATATCAACGGGAAAATGTCAGATTTATTCTAAAGAGACTATTTTAAGAAGATACAAAATAATGAGTTACTGTAAGGCAGAGATTTCTAATAACTTTTTTAAATTAGACGTAGCTGATTGATCGTTGTGGAGTGGCAAATCTTACGTTTTTCTAGTCTTTAGAATTAAAGGTAAGGTCACTAGTACATGTGCTTCGTCATCACGTCCACTAACACTGGACAAACATAACATCGATCATCATTCAGTGGTCAAACAACTTAGGTAACTCATCCCAACAAGAGATTATTCACATCCCAAATACTCCAGGCTATGAAGCTGGAAAATCAACGAAAGAATTCCATAGGGATCATCATCCCCTTGATATTGTACCAATGCTTTGTTGTTAAGTGCAAATTAGCATAAAATTTAGATTGACCAAAGTTTCCTAACGACTTCCTTCAACCTTCCAATCTAAAATGAGAATAAATGTCACTAACTAAGAAAATGTACTTTATTTTTCTTCAAACGCTTCTATTTAAAAAGCGTTCCAAACTGCTGAGTAGGAGCATCTAAACTTTGATTTCTTACTAGTTATTATTCATCAGAAAATTGTATCTACAACGTTGAAGAAGGTGGATCAAGCTTGTATCATCAATTACCATACTAAACGATGTTAGCAACGGGACATTTAGGTCATGTTTCATAATTAGTCAATACAATTTACTGGGTTCTATTTCGTTAACTTTGTTGTTTGACCATATAGATGGTTGATTTTATATCTCAAAATCTAACGATAACATTAATTCATCATAAAAACTTTCTAAAGTCAACGGTAACAACACACTTGACTTATAATAAGCTTCTAAAAGAGCTATAAGTATCTTGGTGCATACTCAAGATATTATGAACAGTAGAATTCGGGAAGCATGTGTTGTTCGGTTTGAGACTCGTCAGATAGGTGTACAAGCATATTATAGTTGATGTTCGACTGAGTTGTTATTATTGATCTTTTCCATCTCAAGATACTTGCATCAGTTAATTAACACAAATTCTTATTAGTTACTTTGTATCATTGAATGTTGTATTTCAAATTTCCCATCACTAACTTGTTTTGATTAAATAACCATTGGAAATCAAAAGGCAATGGGTAGTTGTTCTGTATTAGTACGAGATCAAACTTAAGACCTAAAGGCCTCTCGGTATGCTCTTAAGCTTCAGACTACTGAGTTACAATTCAAAAGTTTACATTCCTAACTTCGGGATTTCATTTGGACGCAGTTAGGTGTTTTCCGCAATGTGTGTCATATCCACTTCCAGAACTTCTTCCTGATTTCTTCCTCCTCTGGAATCTGGTTTGTTCTCTCTCACAGTAGCTTGTTGCTTATAGTGTCCGGCCAACGGATCCGAAGTATCTTGCGTAGCCACTTGTAAGCACATAATTTATTTTTTTGAATAGTACATTATGATGACTGCTGAATTTGTAGCTCACCTAGATAAGTAATAGTCATTAGCTCACTAGTAAGCTCTAGGGAAAATTCCTATAGTTCTAATGAGAATCTGTGGCCGGTTAAGTACAACTATGTCGGTCATGAAATAATCGCTGTCCAGCACCACGAAGTGAATGAAATTAGTAATGTAAACCAGTAGACAATAAGTCGGTGATTTAATGGATAAGGAAACTCCTAGAGAACCTAAGATCCCAAATTCAATGTCTGGTATGCCTCAGATACATATTTGAAGGAGTTCCATACTATGAAAAATTAACTATCCATTGCTTCATGATTCCCAATGGTTACCCAACCAAATTTGGTCCTTAATTTGAAACTTCAATTTCAGCAATCGCCACAGTACCATAAAATGAAAAATTCTACATATACTCTGTATACCTATCTTATAATCTTTTCTTCAGATATTAAACTTTTGCTGCCTTTCTACTTTTATCCTTAAATTGTTTTTGTGTATTAGGTTTCGTTCCAACAAGCTGAGTCAAGTCCGTGTTTTACGGTAAATATACTTTCCATCTCCTTAACTTTCAAACTCCAAAGTGTACACATCATAACAGTTAATGAAATGATGAATGTTAAAGATTCCCATTATGGAAATTAGAACAACACATGTAAGCGAACAATTGTTTCCAGTTAGATCATCATCAGGCTTTACTCTAATATACATGAATATTTATATGAAAATGTTAGACCAATCAAGGCTATTTGAGTCAATAATCACAATGAAATAGAATACGTTACCAAGCATAATAATAGTTGAAAGTATAAGTTGATAGTGGGAAGACAGGTGTACCTGAGTTGGCCTTTTCTATGTGCATCAGCAAGTTTAGCTGCTCCTATGGAGATAGCTATATCGAGCGTACTGCTAGACAACTTAACCAACGAGTAAGTGAACATCTACCAGCATAGTTTGGGAAGGGCCAGATAAAAACAATCTTGGCGCATCTAATTGATAGTGGTCATAATGTAGATAAATCGTAATCATTCCGAGTGATCTATCGTATACCTCCATCATTTCCCAACAGAGTTTGTTCCCGTTTCCTTCAAATAGAAGAAGCCATAGGAATTCGTACATTTCACCCTAATTTATGTGTACAGAAGAAATTTGTAAACCCTAATATCTCTTCCATAGCCGGACACAACAAATGACATTATATTTTTTTTAAATTTTGTTATCATTTGTTTGTAACTTTCTGCCTCTTTCCGTTTGTATTCTTTACTATCGAATTATTTACATACTTCTTATTACGTAATAATTTTAATGTTTTGTGATCACTATTCTAAGTCTATTTACCCACGTTTGACCTCCTATTTCCAATGTTTAACTATTGATAAGACTTTTTTTATCGTAATCTATCATTCTTACTGCAATCAGTACACCTGTCTTCCCATTATCAACTTGCTCAGTGACGTGTTTTATTTCATTGTGATTATTAATTCAAATAATGAATGATCAAACTATCTTAGAAATTAACACTGTTGGGTGCTGGCTGGCTCAGTGGTCTATCGGTTAAGACCAATCAAGGGCTGTGGCTCGAGACTGGTAGATCCTGGGTTCGAATCTGGAGAGTGAGGGATCGTGGATGCGCACTGCTGAGGAGTCCCATAATAGGACGAAACGGCCGTCCAGTGCTTTCAGGTTTTCCATGATGGTCTAGCTTCAATTGACTCACGTTTTCGAATTACCTTCTACAATAACTTGAACAATTAGTTATATAATATTAAATTTCATATCACTACCAATCAACTGAAAAAATGAACACTTACTGGTATATGAGCATAAAGACCATTATTCCATAAGTATTTTGGTGTATTCATAATAAAATCATAATCTAAAGTTGGTGCCCATGGTTTTGTCAACCAATTAGGGCGATGAATTCTTGTTTTAGCTGCTGCGTTTGATATTTCTGTAGATGTACGAGATCGTAAACAATGGATCATTGAACGTTTTGATGAAACATCACAACCAACCTAAAAAGATGTTAAACTTTGATTACTTTTGTTGTTAATCCATCTGATGAAAACATTTATGACTGAGTTAAAAATTTCCAGTATTTTAAATATTAAACGACCCCGAAAATAAATAGATTAGTGGAGTGAAACAAAAGTTTAATTATGATCATCATTAAGTGCTAGAAAGCATCATATTATTTACCATAAAAATAAAGAATAACTCCAACCAATTCATTTCAACTAGTAGTATCAAAGAAAGTAGGCTAATGGAGGCTAGCACTGGGACCCGTCAGTTGGACGAACCTGAATCGTAGAATTGATGTCCGATCCAGAACTTCAACTCAGTGACATTCACTTTGAACACCATCGTGTTATCCACTTGGCAACTTGGTCCAGGTATCCATTAGGTTGTGAAATGGACGAAGTTTATTTCGCTTTTGTATTTGTTGTTTGAATCTTCCCAGTGATGTTTAAGACTGCAATTGATCAGTCTCTTATTGGCAAATATGTATCCTATGCGGATAGCCTCGATATTGCCTACAGTCACAAACATTACGGGCATAGATAATGGTGGCTATGATGATGGGATGGGATGCAGACACATCCAACTGACGAGTCCCAAATAGGACGAAACGCGTGTCCTGAATTCCACTGCTAACTACCATCATCTTTGCCTACGATGTTTATGATTTAAGGCAATACTGAGTTAATCCACACAGCATGTACATATGCTAGTAAGAGACTGATCAATGTCAGTCCTAAACATCATTGGGAATATTCAAACAACCAATAGAAAAGCGAATTCAATAGATTCATGTTACCATTTCTGTAATACTAAATGACATTGATTCAAAGCTTGGGAAAAATAGGGAAGTAGAATGTGAGGTTAGAAACCTCATTCCTGTAAAAAGAATCTTGCTACAAAACACCAACCATAGAAAATCATTTAGACCATTTAAACCCTCCCTTGTCTGTTGAATGGTCTTCATATAGAAGATTTATGTCGCCTCATAGTGATAGCCAAGATTCTTCGTAACTCACCAGCCGGATGTCCCTACTGACAACCCCACATGCAGTGGAAAGAATCAACATGGCCATCGAAAAACCAAGTGTGAGAAAGCAACAGGATTAGACAAAATACCAGCTGAATCACTGAATTCAGACATAGAGATAAGTGCAAAGATGCTCCATGTTCTATTCAGAAAGATTTAGAAGAAAGAACAAGTTTCGACAGACAGGAAAGAATGACACTTCACCAAAATACCTAAGAAAGTAGATTTTATTCAGTATGAGAACTACAAAAGTACAACACTAGAGTCAGTGCCAGACAAAAATTTTAATACAGTGTTGCTAAGTCGAGTAAAAAATTCAGTAGATCCTTAACTTTTAGATCAGTAAGCTGGATTTCATAAAGATCGATTATGTACCGACCACATCATTGTTGAATAATCAATTACATGTAACTCATAAATATGCATCAAATTTCCTTAATGACAAAAGTTGCGACTATCTAACCCGTTATTACTTATTGAATTCTATCGATCAATTTATAATGTCCCACCCACTAGCCTGAGTAACTTGACATTGTGCATAATATGTTGAAGTGTTCGCTGGTTGGAGGATCCAGGAAATTCTGGATCTAAGCTCTGTGTCGGTTAAAGATCGTCAAGAAGATGTACCTATAGTCTCAAGGGAACTAATTTCACTTGATTAAAACGAACCTGGATCACATACTGCATGTTACACTACATCGGGATATTGCAACGTCCTCGATAGGGTTAGATTAGAACTAAGGACCAGACAAAAATGGATTGGTCACTACCTAGGGATCAATTATGTTAGGCTTAAGTGAATTTGCATAAAATAATTTGATTTATTTGATGATGTATCCGGATAGTTTTTCATTTAGAAGTAAACAGGAATATAGCTAATAATGAAATCATCGTCACCAATCATCTTTGGAATGGAGTTTATATTTTTGATATATCATAAATAACTAACTTCATAATAACGAGATTCACAGTTTAGAAAAGCTAAAATAGGAGAAGAGTTTACAACAAACTGACTTTTGGTACCGGCACTATTTCCTGTACTTTTCAGTTACATTGAAAATCACTAGGTAAACTCTAAAATTCTAAGAAATCAAGCGATCGGAATTACTTTAATGTTAACCCTTCCAAAAAGTCGATTGCAGTATATTACAGTATTGTTACGGGAAAACTTTCACTATTAAACACGACATTATATACCTCATGCTTACCTGATAAGCCAATTGTTTAGCATATGCCTCAGATTCATTGATATTTTGAACAAAACCACCTTCCATTTGATCAGATCCGGACATAAGAATAACACGATGAAATAATGGTGGATTTCTACGACCTGATTTTTCTGACAATAAATGTAGTGCAACATCAGCGGCAGCTGAACCATGACCAATTACAGTGATCTGTTGTGTAAAAAACGCAAGAAATACACACATAACGTACATGAACAAACAAGTATATTTCTAAAATAACTCACAAGTGAGCAAGCATATCTAGAGTGGAAAAAAGTTTCCCTACTTTCATCGAATGATATATCACAAATTCACTAAGGTTCATATTGTTCCACTGGAGGCGAAGCCAGTAGTTGTAATGATTAATTGTTCACCATGATACCTGGATGTTATAGGTTCGATTCCTGGTGAGGTTGTTTGAGTACAGATCTGAGAATTCCCATACTGAGATGAAATAGCTAACCATTACACTCCGTTTTACAGTGGTACCTCAACTGAGATTAGTCTATGACGGATACAGACTACAAACTAGAACCAATTTCTACAAAATACCTTGAACTTAATTTGTAGAGTTTGCTAAGTTCGAAGATAGCTTCTACTGTATTGAACGAGAAGACGAGCAGGAACAACCAAATGTATTTTAACACATTACAGAATATTTTGGTAAAATCTGAGAACTATACAGCAAATACTCTATTTGCAAAATATCCATCAATTGTCCCAGGCTTTGTTGTTCCTTCATTTCCATACCAATCATTCTCTGTTCTCGTTCTCTTTTTTTTAATTTTCTCAATCTTCTACCTTTAGACATTCTATTTTCGATTGGTGATACATACTACTTATATCTGTCAACATCTGTAGTACACACCTCACTACCACCGATTTACAACTGCTATATACCGATTTCTTTTATTCTCCATCGTTCTCTTATTAAGGTCAATTTGTGTTGAAAATTAACATCATATTGAATAAGCTACACAAACTTACCTAGCTACTTTGATTAATTCTAATAATTTAAACATTTTTTTATAGAAATGTTATATCCTGAAGAGAATTATGAATGGTAACTTTGAGGACTATTTATGGATCAATATGATAAGTAACTTAACTATTCATATTCGTGTCCCCCATATTATAAGCTTTATTTTGATCCATAGACTACTACTGTACGATTTACCATTCTTGAGTTATACCCAGTCTATTACTTACTGTTCCCTCTATTCATTGACACATTTGGCTAAATCTTGTACACATGTTATTTTCTAATTTATGGTACGATGTGGTCAGTTTGATTGGCATATAAACCTAGTATGTTTGAAATAAATAATTCATACCACAGAAGCTGTTATTGGTGTTCTGGACTTAACTGGCTGGGCTCTAGGCAGATAAGAGGACTAATAAATACTCAAGACTGCTATTACAGCTTTTGTGTATCATTGCTCTGATCGATAATTCACTCCCCTCTAATTGACGGGAATCAGTACGTTGTATATTATAAGGCAATCAATATAACAAGAACTATTAAACTTACTTGATTAGGATCACCTAGAAATTTATCAGCATGTTCATGAATAAATTCCAATGCTCTAATTTGATCCCATAATCCATAATTTCCCATTAAGATTTCCTCCTCCTGATCATTATTATCATTAGTATTGATATTCTCATGTGAATATGGTTTATTTATAGCTAAATAACCAAATGGACCTAAACGATAATTCACTGTAATTACAACTAATCCTAATTGAGCTAAAACATGTCCAGGATAATAATTTACTGATCCAATTAAATGATCATAACTATGAAAGAATACAATAATTGGATATCGTTTATTATTATTATTACTATTATCCTTTAAATAAGTAGTATCTGTTTCATATAAATTATAAATATTTAAATAAAGACAATCTTCATTATAAGATGAAGATTCTTTATGAATTGGTTCAAATGTAAAACGTTGAAACCATTCATATGAATACTTGGACCATTCATGAAATGATGTACTAGATGAACTTAAACTTGGTTGAGAACAAGCAGATCGAAAATAAGTTGCATCATATTTTTGATTGGATAAAATTGGTGGAATAGGTCGACGAAATCTTAAATTATTCTTTTGTGTTGGTGGATGTGCATAGGGTATACCTTTCCAAATCTAATTGATTAAAGAAAAGGAAATAAATAATAAAAATTACTTGTAATGGTTCAGTCTACTCTTAAGATGAAGTAATGTCAGGAGGAAATCAAAAGAATTCAGAGAATTCATGAAGTCTATATATTTTAATAGTTGAGATCATGAGTTAATTGAAGCTAGACCATCATGAAAAACCTGGAAGCATTAGACGCTCGTTTCATCATAGTATGAGACTTCTCAATAGTGTGTATCTACGATCCCGCCCTGGGGTACTAGAACCAAGAACCTATCGGTCTCGCGCCCGAACGCTTAAACTCTAAACCACTGATTCGGGATTCAATGATGTTAATGTCGAACTTCACCCAATCCCGCATGTTGGGGTCGTGGTTGTGCACTTTTGAGGAGTCCCACACTAGGATGAAATGGCCGTTCAGTGCTTTCAGGTTTTCCATGGTGGTCTAGTTTGTATCGACTCATGAACTCAAATATTAAAAAAATATAGAATTGATAAACCAGACAGGGTACGATGCTCGTCTAGTTGCCCAACTTATAAAAGTTTTTCTGAGAAATATTAAACAGGTATTATATTAGAATGTAACATGTGAATGTAATTAAACGGTGATTATATTGAATACTTTTAGCTAGAGTTGGCTAAACTGAACATATATATCGGTCAATCAGTCAGTTTTAATTAACGTAGAGTTCAGTACAAATATGCCCTGGTCTAAATTACCATGACACATTGGCATGATAAGATGAAATTAACTAGATCAATATCAAAGGGATCAAAATACTGTTGCTGAAATGATAATGAGAAGGATTAAGTATTGAGAATTTCTGTTTGGAAGGACGGAATATATATATATATATATATATATATATATATATGAACGAATACAAGATAACAAGATCTAGAGTAAGATGTTGAGTAAATTTTTATTCAACTTTTTGGCTAATTCTGAGCCATAACACCTAACGTTTTCAATCATTGTTCACGGTCATCTCAACCAGATAATCTACATCTATTAAAATGCTTCAATTTTGATTTAGCTGTTTCCAACTTCCGTTCAACTTACTCCTACATAAGTTAACAACACCTATCAAGGTAGATGATGATTAAGTACATATAACACATGTCTGAGCATATTTATACAGAAAGGATAAATTTACTTATCGTCAGTCATATCAACACGGCTTCATTATTGTTCTTTAATCCAAAACAAAAGTTAATTAAAAGTGTTCTTCGACTTGAATAGTGTTTTACATACTAATATCAGAAGGGTTTTTGTGGATATTATAGTAGTTTTAATAGTTGAGATCATGAATCAATTGAAGCTAAACCAGCATGGAAAAACTGGAAGCACTGGACGGCCGTTTCGTCTTATTGTTGGATGCCGGCTCATTGGTCTAGATGTTAAGCGGTCGCGCGCGAAACTGATGGGTCCTGGGTTCGAATCTCGTGAGGCGGAATCAAGGATGCGCAATGCTGAGGAGTCCCGCACTATGACGAAATGACCGTCCAGCGATTCCAGGTTTTATATATTACTTTATTTACTGGTAAACTATTGAGAATTCAATTATTTTTAATATTCTTGAATAATATTGTCTATCATTTGAGTATACCTTTTGAATATTTTTAAACAATAATATATAATTCACTTAATATTGTTTGTTTGAATCTTTCCATAGATTTGTTAGGACTGTAACTGGTCAGTCTCTTATTGGAATATGTGCATACTGTGCGTATTGCCTCGATATAGCCTTAATTCACAAGCATAGTAAGCAAAGATGGATAGTGGCTAGTAGTGGAATCCAGTTTGACGCGCGTTTCGTCCTATTTGATACTCGTCAGCTGGATGTACCTACATCTCAGAGTTAATGTTCACTCTGGGACTCGAACTCAGTACTTATCACTTTAAACGCCATCGCGTAATCCACTGAGCGTTTGAGGCGAAAGGTACTGAGTTCGAGTCTCAGGGTGAACATCAACTCTGAGATGTAGGTACATCCAGCTGACGAGTGTCAAATAGGACGAAACGCGCGTCAAACTGGATTCCACTACTAGCCACTTTCAATCTTTGCTTACAATAATTGATAATATTTTCGGTTCAATAAGATGAATGACAAACTTCATTTCCATAGATTAAAACAGGTTTCCTGTCTAGTTTGATGACAACCATCATACGATCTATAGTTATGGAAAATGTTAGTTTGATTTATATAAATTTTCAGTTTCCATATAGAATATCATATTAATATGTATAGATTTTCATTGTATTATTGCATATATTTGCATATATTAAGCTAAATGAATTCGTAAAGGCTTTTGTATAGCTTAAGAATGGCTTTCATCACAAACTAACATCATCTGAAGAAGGAATAAGAAATAGGGAACACTAAGAAGCTGTTCTGTGCTAGTTTAAGACTACTTTATACAAAAATCAATCCATGTTAGATTAAAACTAAGACTTTCAATTCTCATATTGTGCACGATTTATTCCGAAATTTGCATGGCATGAGGTTTGAGTCCCGGAGTGAAGATCAACACACTGTATCTAGCTGACTTGTCCTAAATAAGACAAAATATGCGTCGAGTATTTTACTGATTGTCGTTGTCCGAACCCGCTTAAAGATATTTACTTGCCAACTCAAGACCATTTAGTTCATGGAGAGTTCAGTCACTTAGATATAAAGCAACTAACTCAAAGGAATATGGCCTGCAAGCCTCGTTAGGTGTTATGATAATACTGATCCTACTTATAAATAACTATGATTCATCTTTAGCATTTAATGCAAGCATTATCATTTTTTTTCTATTGAACATATCCATAGTTGCAGAGTCAGATATATTGGGTAAAGAAAAACAAACGGTATATGTTGGAGCTTCTCACTTCATCATCCAATTAAAATTATGCTCTCTTATGATCTGACGCAACCATTCATCCATTGTCTGAAGTGGATAATTGTCTCCACCTGACACGGACTGAACTCCACTGGTCACAGCTTCTTACTAGTACTCCAGGAAACCCATATTGAAGCTAGTCATTAACAAGCGCATGATTATTATCAGAATGGGGATTTATGGAGATTGTAGTAATTCGGTAGTTGAATTCATGAGTCGATCTAAGCTAGACCATCATTTAAAACCTGAAAGCATTGGGTTTGAGTCCCGCCTGCACGACCGTGGATGCACACTGCCTACGGGTCCCACGCTGGCACGAAGCTTCCGTCCAACGCTTCTAGGTTTTCAATAGTAGTCTAGCTTAGATTGACTCATAAATTCAACCATTAAAATTACTACAATCTCCATAAATCCCCATTCTGATTCATATTTTATTTGATTGTTTCTATATAATCTTACCTGAAGGTAACGTTTCCCATTCTCTTGATATCCATATTCATTATCTAATGAAATAGCATAACCATACATAATCCCATAATCTGTATGTATAGATCGACTATTTTTACAACAATCTGGTTGAAAATCACTAACACATCCAGGAATTACATCACAAATTGGTCCAGTTTTTGATATAATATTAAAACAACATTCATTATGATAACATCCAATAGGTTTTAAACAATAATTTAATTGACTCCATGTTAACCGGATCCATATTGAAATCATAATCAATATCTTTAATATACTACTCATTATGATCATGATAGAATGATAAATTGAAATGAACTATCAAACCATTAATATAATAATCCAAACTTTGCCTTTGACTTGATTATTTTTTCGAATTATTCATTTGGATATATGAATTGTAGAACCTAAAGAGAATTTATCCAAATGAATATTCTTCGTTCAAATATGAGTCTTTTAAGATGATGGTAGATTTTTCAACGAATAATCCAAACTATAAACTATTAGGAATGAGAAGATTTCAACTGAAACTGAATTGAATACTTTATCATTATAACTGGATATCTTATATGTGTGTTTTCAATAAGGTACCAATCATAAACATTTGTATGTATGTGTTATATAACAGTTGACTACTTGCAAGTAGTATTATTATAGTAGAATATAAATTTTTTAGTTAGGTAATATTCAATATGAATCATAATGATATACAATTTTCGATATTTGTATACACATGACTTGGATAAATTAAATGGAAACCGAGTGAGAGGGAGAGAGGTAGAGAGGGAGGGAGGGAGAGGGAGAGTGAGAGTGAGTGAGTGAGTGAGTGAGAGAAACAGAGATAGCAACACAAATTGTGTACACATAGTGTCATAATATCTGTCTATTTCATCAGAGTCAACCTTGGACAGATTATTGTATTTTGTATATGTAAATATATATATACATACAAAGAGAGGAAGATGGTGAACATACCTAGTTTGTGTATAGAAACAAGTGATTACATTTATATGCAAACATAGATAGATGTGTTTCAGTTCTCTCTTATTTGTTACATTCTATTGATAAACTATGTTCACAAGAAAGAAATGGATTACTCATTAATGATTTGGAGAGTTTATGAATCATATAAGCTATTAGAATTCAGTTTATATGCAAATGTTATAACTAATGTATTGTAGAGTAACCAGTGGAGTTTAACCAGGTCTGTTGGGAGATAGTAACTCATTGAAGACAATTGGTGAATGGTTGCTCAATTTCGTGGATTGGTTGAAGTTAGACATTAACACCATTGGATGCCGGCCGGCTCAGTGGTCTATCCGTTAAGCGCTTTAGTGTGAGACTAATAGGTTCTGGGTTTGAATCTCGCGAGGCGGGATCGTGGATGCGCACTACTGAGGAGTCTCACAATAGAAAGAAAGGGCCGTCCAATGCTTCCAGGTTTGCCATGGTGGTCTAGCTTCAATTGACTTATGATCTCAACAATATAAAATGACTAAAATCTCCACAAAACCCCCTTCTGATAAATTGTAGAGATTGTTAAGTTTTATAGGTTATATAATGAATTAATCTCAATTAGACATCTTATTGAAAACCAAGATGAATTGAATAGTTATTTCATTTCTGGCATGAGATTACCTACTTACTTACTTACGCCTGTTACCCCTCGTGGAGGAGCATAGGCCGCACATCAGCATTCTCCATCCAACTCTGTCCTAAACAATCCTTTTCAGTAACTTTCCAGTTAACATTCATCCTTTTCAGTAACTTTCCAGTTAACATTCATCCTTTTCATAGTTGCTTCTATTTCCCGACGTAATGTGTTCTTTGGCCTTCCACTTTTCCTTTTTCCTTCCGTATTTCAAGTTAGGGCTTGCCTCATGATGCAGTTCGGTGAAGAGATTATTCATCAGAAATAAGAATGAACAATTCCATTAGAGGATGGAATTTGGAACTTTCAGGATAATGTGACAAGCACTTGACTTTTACACTATTAAGTTATTATTATAACTGAAATCATGAATCAATTGAAGCTAGACCACCATGGAAAGCGTGGAAGCACTGGACGGCTGTTTCGTTCTACTGTGTGACTCCTCAGCAGTGCACATCCTTGATCCCACCTCACGAGATTCAAATTCAGGACCTATCAGTCTCGCGTGCGGCGTTTAACCACTAGACCACTGATTCGGCATCCAACAGTGTTAATGTCTAACTTATTATTATTATTTACATTTCATTTCGTTAGTTTATGTAATGAATAACTAATACATTTAAATACTTTCTGTTGTGTTTATACAAATCATAATTATACAATACAATTTCATACTACTTACCCCAAATTCGAGTTCTTGGTTGCGTCATATCGAAGTTCAAGACTTATAAGGATTAGTATTATTTCGTTATATTATTTCAAATTCACAGTTTAGCTCTGATATCCTAGTAGCATAACATCTACTGATTAAATATCATGTAAAGTCTGCAGATAAAATTGATGAAGGTCTACATACCTAATAACTAGTCCCCCAAGTACGTTGTTTATTGGTAATAGTAACTTTATAGTCCCGTTATTATTAATTATGAATGAAGTTTGATTAGTCTTTGTTGACATATATACAAACTAAGTACACCGCCTGTAGGTTCATTATGTAACATGTTTTGGAATATATACATGAATTTTGGTTAGTTACTTTATATCTCAGTTTGTTAACATTTAAATTGTAACTCAAACCTAATATCTAACGTCAACAAATAACACCAATTCAAGATCCAAGTATGCTAATGTTGATAATAAGATAACATAGACACATAGATTATTTGATTAAGATCATGCATCGACCAATGTTAGACCACTATTGTAAGCCCGGAAGTACTGGCCGACCGTTCCGTCTTAGTATGAAGTTCTTCAGCAGTGCGCATCCATGATTCCGCACGCGTGATTCGAACCCAGTTTTTGTCAATCTCATCTGCAAACGCTTAGCCTCTAAACCAATGAGTCGGCATCCAGTAGTATTAATGTCTAACTTTAACCAATTCACGAAATTGCACGGTTAACTAAAATACTTTCCACTTGGTATTGTTTGTTTGAATCTTCCTATCGATGTGTTAGGACTGCAACTGGTCAATCTCTAATTGGCATATGTGCATACTGTGCGTATTGCCTCAATATAGCCTTAATTCATAAGCATGGTAAGCAGAGATGGATAGTGGCTAGCAGTGTGAACAGAGTGAACATCAACTCTGAGATGTAGGTACATCCAGCTGACGAGTCGCAAATAGGAAGAAACGCGCGTCCTGGATTCCACTACTAGCCACTATCCATCTCTGCTTAAAATACTTTCCTCTCAGTTATGATGCATAATTTAACAAACTTATTCATAACAAAATCAGATATTTTTCATAGTTTTAAAGCATGAGTCAATTGAAGCTAGACCACCATGGAAAACCTGGAAACACTGGACGGCCGTTTCGTCCTATTATGGGACTCCTCAGCAGTGCGCATCCACGAACCCGCTCGCGCGAGATTCGAACCCAGGACCTACCAGTTTCGAGCCGAAGCCCTTAACCGATAGACCACTGAGCTGGCATCCAACGGTGTTAATGTCTAACTTCAACTGATCCACGAAGTTGAGCAACCATTCACCAATTGTCTTCAGTGAGTTCCTATCTCACAACAGACGTGGTTTTGAACTCCACTGGTCACTGCTTCTCACTAGAGCTCCTAGCACTGCTGAGGAGTCCCATAATAGGACGAAACGGCCGTCCAGTGTTTCCAGGTTTTCCATGGTGGTCTAGCTTCAATTGACTCATGCTTTAAAACTATGAAAAATACTAAATCTCCACAAAAAACCCCCTCTGATAATTAATAAAATCAGATATGTTGTCTACATTATAAAATTCACATGACTATAATATATTTTAAAAGGTCATTCAGTATTCAACACTGGATAACTTAAATGAAAACTAGGTGTATTTAGAGTGAATCTATTAACCTTACAATAGTACCACCTAATAGTCTATTAGCATATATAGATACATATACATATGAGATATGCTATTCCATCATTTATCTTTCAATTTATTTTGTCATAACTAACTTGTGCGATATGTATTAGCGTATAGGGTCAAGGGTTTCCTGTTGACCACCTTCAACCACCATCTTATTAGCGTATAGGTGATTGTTTGGACATTTGTCTTTTATTTAAATTAGTATAAGCTAAGCGATTCAACTATAGTCAGAACCGACTAAACACATAAACTGTAGACAACTAGTATTCATTACGAGTGACATCATTCTATAAGATGAATTTAGTTTTGAATTTTATACAGAATCGATTTAAGTAGATATTATAATAAGTAATTGACTTGAATTATACTGTTGTTGATATTCATTAATAAAACTCGATCGTATCTGTCAGTACAATGACCGATGGAATTAAATAATGTTAACAGTGGGATAGTTAGCTTCGATCGTATGGGATGACTGTCGTGCAATATAATAGTTTCTATTAACCTACCATCGCTTCTATCTTGTACTGGAGTTATTATTTGTCTACATTGATGACCTGATAGAGTCAAAGTGACTGGAATACTTGTTGAAGTCCTACCATAATTGGCGGAAGTGCCAGAATAAAAGCAAGGACCTAAGGTTCGAAGTTGATGTTTTACTTCTGATTACATTCAGGTGTGATGATAATGAGGTCAATCCCTCAGACGATTAACATATATAGGACATCTGCCTTCCCACAAGCGGGTCAGGAAAGGTACTGGAAATACTGGCACCTCACCTTACTTTACGGATTCCCTTCACCTGAAGTGAAGCCGTAAAAACAAGAAATTAGCACATTTATTACTACTTGCTAGAGGTTGGGATGCAATCAAACTAGAAAAGCTGTTCCTTGGGTTGTATAGTCACGCTTCTAACATGTCATAACCATTAATAATCCAATTTCCTTCCCAAGAACATCCAGAAACAGTATCCTTCCATGATATGGGGAAAAGTATAGTGACACTCGCTCATACACTTATGATAGAACTTTTGATCACCTTATTCATGATAGATCGTCAACTGCTTGAACTTTAAAATCTAGGCTCCTGAATTTCAACTGAGTGATCTATCTCGCTTATCAAGAGGTCTAAATAGTCAAGTAAAAACAATTGTATCTGATTTCATAGGAATTAAGATTATACTCGAAGCGATTTATTTTGATGATATGCACCCCTTTTTAATTTTAAAATAATTCCATAACATCCTATGCTAACTCAACAACAGTGTTTTATGGGAGAGGACAAACTAG